GGCTGCTCTGCCCCCGGCTCCCCCGATTCAGCCGCTGGTCAGTTTTAGCAGCGGCTGAATCGGGGAAGCTGGGGGCAGAGCAGCTCCAAAGGTCCGGCTGCCTGGAGCACTGCCGGGTTCCTGATGGTGCCGGACCATCAGATGCCGGACCAATGGAGTTTTACTGTATTTACAATAAAGTTTATTTTTGAAAACATTTTGAACACAGTTTTATTTTGTTAGTAAATGTTATTCTTTGTACACTGATGGGTTTTTAGGGTAAGTCTAGACAAAGTTACAGAGGCATGTAAATTAGACATACCGACATAGTCAATGAAGCGGGGATTTAAATATCCCCTGCTCCATTAGAATAAAAATGGCCACCGCGCTGTGCCAGCACAGCCGTTTGTCGGTGCGAACAGGCAGTCAAGACGGGGATCAGTCATCAAGGAAAGCCTTTGCCGACAGAGTCCCGTCTTGACAGCTGAGCCAGCACAGCGTGGCAGCCATTTTTATTCTAATGAAGTGGGGGATATTTAAATCCCCGCTTCATTGACTATGTCGGTATGTCTGGCAACAGAGGCATGTAGTCACTCTAGACATACCCTTAATGCTCCCGACAGCTGTGTGTGTGTGTGTGTGTGTGTTAAGTGTCTGGAGACTGGTGCAGGGATGAGTGGTGGGAGGAAAGGTCTTGAGGGGGGCCCAGGCCATAGGCCTCATTGGGGAGAGTCATTGGGCTCCTGTTGAGAATCTCTCACGCAGGGGCTCCTGGATGCGGACCCCCACCTGCTGTGATTGGCAGATGGCAGCTGTCTGGGGCTGCTTGAACTGCCTCCCCTCAACATCAGCTCATGCCCCCCCCCTCTGGGAGGAAGGTCTCCCCTTTGCTCTCCACCAGGTTGTGAAGCACACAACACACAGCCACCACCTCAGGGTATGTCTACACTAGTCACCCTAGTTCGAACTAGGGTAGCTAATGTAGTCATTCGAACTTGCAAATGAAGCCCGGGATTAAAATATCACGGGCTTTATTTGCATGATCCCGCGTGACGCCATTTTTAAATAGCCCGTAGTTCGAACCCCCTGCCTGCGGCTACACATGACACTGGCTAGGTAGTTCGAATTAAAGCTCCTAATTCAAACTACTGTTATTCCTCCTCGGACCCCCTCTTCCCTGTTACTCCTCTTCGGAGTAACTGTAGTTCGAATTAGGAGCTTTAATTCGAACTACCTAGCCCGTGCCGCGTGTAGCTGCAGGCAGGGGGTTCGAACTACGGGGCATTTAAAAATGGCGGCACGTGGGAACATGCAAATAAAGCCCGGGATATTTTAATCCCAGGTGGGACTGTTATTCCTCCTCGGACCCCCTCTTCCCTGTTACTCCTCTTCGGAGTAACTGTAGTTCGAATTAGGAGCTTTAATTCGAACTACCTAGCCCGTGCCGCGTGTAGCTGCAGGCAGGGGGTTCGAACTACGGGGCATTTAAAAATGGCGGCACGTGGGAACATGCAAATAAAGCCCGGGATATTTTAATCCCAGGTGGGATGGTCTGTCACTGGTTGGGGGGCGGGGCGGGCGGAGCCCCCGCCGGCA